TCGAAAGGTGTTGCATGATGGTGTTTTAATATATCATGCACACGAGACATACTTATGGATACGGTTGAAAAGGAACCAAAATGAACATAAACATGAGCTTCTTAATGTTTGTAAATTTAAGTTAACCGAACAAATGAACAAATATGAACATATAGACGAAAAACTTTTTTTGTTCTTGTTCGTTGGTTTAACATATTACATTGTTCATGATTGTTAAAATGTTAAATGAAATAAATAAACACAACTTAACATATAAGAACATAAGCGTATATATATATATATATATATATATATATATATATATATATATATATATATATATATATATATATATATATATATATATATATATATATTGGCGGACCTTAGTGAGACATTTGGGGTCCTGGACCACTGTTCAATTTCTGGCACGCAGTGTAATTTTTTTTTTTTCTATTAGGTGCACCCTTGGACGATGGACACCCCTACTAAAACAGTATGCGTCCGCCACTATATATATATATATATATATATATATGTATATATATGAAAACAAATGAACATAAAATAATATATTATATATTATATATAATGTAATATAATAACCAAATATAAATGAATATAAACAAACAACATAAACTAATGTTTATGAACATAAATAAACGAACGAGATCATTGTTCATGTTGATTCATTTATTAAATAAACGAACTTCTGGTTGAACAGTTTACAAATTGTTTGCTAATATTTGGTTCGTTTCCAACCATGGGGTGAGGTGGAGGTGTATATGTGTTGTATGGGTTGGAGGGTGATCATGTTGGGTGGAGAGTGGTATGAACATACAACTCTAGCATGAATTTTTAAATTTGTTTTCTTTTTCTTTTGTGATAAATATATAAAGAATAAGATAATGTTGAGTAGCATGAGGGTTGTATCATGTATGTGAAGGGATTTAAATGGCAAGTTTTATAAATATGAAATATTTAAGTGAAGTGGTATGAGAATTGAATGGGTTGGAAAAGCCTTAACAATTTACATATAACGTTACTAGGATAATTTGAAACAAATTAAGGTTATACATAACGCTTCTCAAACTTATGCGCTTACGTGTGACTGTTCATTCCAACACCATCCCATATTGCGTAAGTGACTAAGTGTGACCTCTTGTAACTGTGGCTACGATACTTCACAAATGAAAGAGAAAAACCTTCTCTCTATCTCTATTTTTCTTCCATTTGCTTTCTCTTTTTCTCTCTCTAACTCACTAGCTACTTGACCATTAAGAGCTATTCGCTAATATGATGTGGCACACCTCCAGGAGAATGGTGTTATCTTCTACTCCATATAATCTTAGTGTCATACTCATACTTATACAATAAATTAAGAGCTATTCGCTAATATGATGTACTCGAAAAATATATATTTCCAAGTAATTAGGGATGAGCAAAACCCGAACCGAAAACTGAAAAACCGAAAAAAACTGACATAACCGAAACCGAAAAACCGAAACCAAAGCAATAACCGACGGTTTAGGTTTGAATTTTACAAAAACCGAAAAATAACGGTTTGGTTCGGTTTTGACGTATAAAACCGCCCATAAAAACCGAACCGACCCACATATATATTATTTATTATGATTTAAATTTTTAGTTTTAGACTTTAGACTTTATTGCTTTAATACTTTATGTTTATTTTCAACAAAGTGTTAATGGTGTTAAGCTTTGATCTTTTGAACACTTTTATGCTTTTATAATACTAGAATTCGTACTCTTTATTTTAGTATATTTAAAGTAGATACAATACTATTTATTGCAACGTATGTTTACTAGGTTTGAACCCAAAAACTAGAAAAAAAAAAAAAAAGAACTCATAAACCCACGGTTTAAAACCGAAAACCCATAAACCCTACTCGGAAAACCGAAAAACCGACCCATAAAAAAACCGAACCTATATAGCTTTAAAAACCGAAAAACCGACTTTCAATGTTTTGGTTTGGTTTTAGTCAAAAACCGACCCATGTTCATCCATACAAGTAACCATAATTTTAGATAAAAGAGAGATGCGACCATAAATTTACAAATAAGTGTCAATTTTAGTTTTTTTTTGTCAACCATTATCGCAAATTTCATTGGAAACCTTTTCATATGGATATTCATGGTGAAAATTTGTGTTATTGTTAACTACTAGTAATGTTTTCTTTTTAAGTAAACAATCCTTATATTTGAAAGTTATCTAAATATATGTTTAAAATACGATTAGAAAAGAACTTCCGAAATTTAGAATTATTTCGTGGAATTTCCATTTTAAATCTTATGTATTTTCTACGGTCATTGTAGTCTTTTGCTTTTTCCAAAAAATAACATCTTTGAATAAATGTGTACACATCAAGCAATTTTTTATATCATAAGTGAAAATGGAATAGTTTTGACAACTTATCTATTTTAAGTATTTTCTACTAATATTGTAGGCTTTTAGGTAAAGTTGTACACAGTGCTGACATTTTATTCATATTGTATGTGAAAAAAGAAAATGACTTATTGTCGTTTGTTCGTATTTAGGAATTTTTTTAATTATTTTTATACACATTTAACGATTTAACTTGTTATATGTGTTCATATATTATTATTGTCATCGGTTATCGATTATAATAATTGACAATGATAATACGTGAACAAATTAACAAGTTAAATAGTTAAATATATACAAAAAAAAAGTTGTCTTAATGGAACAAAACGAAAAATTAATTACTCTGATAAATTATTTTTCCTATTTTTAATAGTGATTTTATTTTTTTATATTTGTTTGTATTATTTTTTTCAAAAGTTATTTTTAAAATAACCGTAATTTCCTAAATATTAATTAAATGTTAATCAATTTTAAACTTTATTTTTTAATTAATAAATATGTTTTTGTTTTGTGAAATATTTTATATAGTCTTCTATAATTTTTTTCTTTTGTTTTAGATATATACAATATTTTTAAGTAAACAGTATCTAACAATAAAATTAAATAAATTAAATATATAAAAATAAGTATGGAGGGTCTTTTAAAAAAACAAAAAAACATTACTTAGCAAATAAATATACAAAAAAAAATCTATATAATGTAAATGTTTTAAAATTATTCCAACTTATTAATACTTTTTAATTAGAAGTTTTTAAACTTTTTTTTAATACAACGTTTTAAACTAGTATTAACGAAAGTATTTTCAAATGTTATAAAAAAATATTAAATTGTCATACAAAATTTGTGAAACACTTTAAAAATGTTATAAAAAAAGTTAAGAAATAAATGTATGAAAGTAATAGAAAATTTTATGAAAATGTAAAAAAAAACAAGTTAAAAACTTATAAGAACAATTCTAAACATTTATAAAATATTTGGTTTAAAAGCATTCGTATTAAAATTATATGAAAGTATAAAAAAAAAATTAAAATTTATAAGCAAAGTTTAAAACATTGTATCATAAAAACCTATTAAAAAAAGATATCATAAAAATGTTGTAAGAAGTTATAAAAAATCTTAAGAAATTTGTAAAAAAAAAGTTATTCACATGTAGACAACTTTTTTATACGTTTGACCATTTAACTTGTTAAATATATTCACATATTACCATTGTTATATGTTATAACATGTAACAATGGTAACATGTGAAAACATTTAATAAGTTAAATGGTTAAATATGTACGAAAAAAAAATTGTCAAAATATGAACAAGACGAAAAAGTAATTACCCTCGTAAGTCATTTTCCCTATGTGAAAATGGATTAGTTTATGAAACCGTGGTTTTTAAAATCAAATTTAAATCATTTTGATACTTTTTTGGTTGCGGATTAGATCTCATAAACATCAATCCAAACACCAATACTTTGTTGAAAATATACAAGGCTACAAAATTTAATGAAAAAACATCATAAATGGTCCCTGTGTTTTCCCAGATTCTGAAGTTTAGTCCCCGTAGTTTAAAAATCTCATAGTTGGTCCCTATGCTTTCAAAACTTTTGACAGGTGGTTCTTATCCCTCACACCGTTAGAATCCCACCGTTAACCCTTATTTCATTAAAATAATATAAGGGTAAATCGGTCTTTTCACCTGTGCCCTCTTCTTTATTGAGGGAAATGATTATGCCACTGTCTTCTTCATGTCAACTCCCAAACACTCTTCATCTCCCAAGAGCACAGTGACTTCGTCTTCAACAGATCACTCTTATCCTCGAATCGAAATTAGGGTTTAGGGTTTACACAGCACCAAAGGACAATGGTTCTGTCAATATGGTGTTTGCGTGAAAAAAATGTGTGCTTGAAGGACTTGCAATCGAGATACGGTAAGATTTTTCATAAAAAAAAAATTGAAGTTTTTGTTTTCCTTGAATGTATTTGTGAAGATAAATCATCTTCTTTATCCTTTCTATTTTTATGTTTGTAGAGGGATATGATAACTATTTCACGTTGAAGATACACTATAGTGGTGTCTTCACCAAGTCACCTGGAAGGAAATACGTCGATGGTAGTGTATCATACGTAGATGACGTTGACACTGATTTATTTTCAGTCCATGAACTCGATGACATGGTTCGAGAATTAGGGTACAAAGGTGAACAAACTCTTTACTACCATTTCTGTATCCCTGAATTTCCCTTAGACTACGGGTTATTGCCTTTAGGGAATGACCAAGATGTTCTTAAATTGGTTTCGTATGTCCCTAAGCACAGACTTGTAAAGGTCTATATTGAAATTGGTCAGACTAGGGTAGCTAGTTATTTTAAGTCTCCTTCCAAAGTTGTTATCGAGGAACTGGAACCTGAGAGTGTGTCACCGGAACTTAATAGAAAAAAACCTTGTAGAAGAGAAGTAGGATCGTGTAGTAAAAAGCTTGAGTTAGACCCCCTGCCAACCATGTTGTTGACCAGTCACAGGTAATAGATATGGATGAAAGTCAGGATCATTCAAAGACTATTGTTCCATATGTTATGTCTCAAGTTAGCCAACGAAGTAATGTCATTGATGTGAATGAAGGATTGATCATGGGCCACATAGAAGAAGTGTGTAAGAGCAATTTAGGCAATCTTGCAGAGGAACCAATTTCTGAAGATATTGATGGACAACAAAGTGTAAGACTCGATGAATTTGAAGCATTTACAGATGATTATTCAACTTATGCTGAATTTGATGCTGAGTACAGTGTACCGAATGGTGAAGACAATCAAGTAGAAATGGAAATTCTAGAGGGCATGGTAAGTGATGATAGTGGAGATGCTTTCTATAGTGAGAATGAAGATGGTTTTGATTATAGTGCAGATGATTCTGATGATAGTGACTACATTGTACATGAGTCTAACATGCAATTTGATGTGGATGTAGACATGAGTGAATTCCAAAGTCATGTGGATGTAGATGAACATGGAATTTTAAACAAGCAAACTGAAAGTATAGGTAATGACATAGTTGATGAAGAGTTGGAAGTTATTCAAAGTGATGATTATCAGTATGCAGGATTTAATGAAGATGAAAGGACAAAAATGCTTAAGGAGTTGAGTAGGTCAACTCCATGCTCACATGGGGAGATCCATTTAAAACCATATAGGGTGGGGCAGTGTTTCAAAACAAAGAAGGAAGTTGTGGACTACATGCATGCACATGCTGTAAATACAAGGAGGTCCCTATACTTAGCAAAAAATGATAAAATCAGGATAAGGGTCAAATGTGGAGGTGTTGTGGGCCAATCTACTGAAACAGTTCAATGTGGTGGGCCATCAACAAGAAGTAAGGTAAAGTGCAAGGGACAATCTACTGAAATAGTTCAATGTGGTGGGCCATCAACTAGAAGTAAGGTAAAGTGCAAGGGCAAAAATGTGATTAGTAAAAAAGGAAAATGTCCTTGGGCAGTCCAAATCTCGAGGCCAGATGAGAATACAGATTGGTTGGTGAAAACAGTACATGAAGTCCATAAATGTTTGCAGACAAGATCAGTTAAAGCTTGTACTTCCAAATATTTAGCAAACTTAATTGTTCCACAAATTCAAAGTAACCCTAAAATTCCAATCAAAGCTTTACACGAGGAGTTGTGTAAGAAGTTGGAGCTTGGTATGTCAGTTCAAAAGGTTGGTAGGGCAAAGCAAATGGCTGAACGTGTGATTAGTGGGGACTACCAACTTCAATATGGGTATCTGAGGGATTATGCTTTGGAACTGCTAAACACAAATCCTGGTTCAACTGTTAGGATAGATGTGTATCCTGAACCATCATTGTCGACTACTACAAGAACTTTTAGAAGAATATATGTATGTCTAGGTGCATTGAAGTTGGGATTCAAAGCTGGGTTAAGGGATTTCCTGGGAGTTGATGGTACATTCTTGAAAGGCCCATATCCTGGGCAGGTACTAACTGCTGTGGGTCTAGACTCAAATAATGGAATATACCCTGTAGCATATGCAGTGGTAGAGGCTGAGACAACTAGTTCTTGGACCTGGTTCATGGAACTGTTAGGAGAAGACTTAGAATTGGGAGCAAATTCAAATTTTACCTTCATTTCTGATAGACAAAAGGTATGTTATACCTAATTATTTCTCATGATAGTGTAGCTTATTTTCTAATTTTATAAATGAAACTGACTGAATTTGCATTTGTTAAGGGGATAATACCAGCAGTTGCAAAGGTATTTCCCAATGCAGAACATAGGTTTTGTTTGAGGCATATTCAGGAGAATTTGAAGAAACAATGGAAAGGAAAAGAGTTGAGTGACTTGGTTTGGGAATGTGGTAGAGCAACAACAGTAAATCACTTTAAATATGCAATGGATCAGTTGAAGAAAATGAATGATGAAGCTCATGCTTGGTTGTGTAAGATTCCTGCAGAGACATGGTCTAAATCTCACTTCAGTGGTATGTCATTTAGAAGTTGTTGAGTTTTATGTTTTAATATAAAATTTGTAATTTCTCTTTTTGAATATGGTTTTCACAGGTAGGGCACACACTGATTGTTTGTTGAATAATCTTTGTGAGGTATTCAATGCTAAGATAGAGGAAGGTAGGGATAAACCAATCATCACCTGCTTAGAGTATATTAGAGAGTATCTCATGAAGAGATTGTGTGTTGTGCAAAAGGAAAAGATAAGTGTCAAGGGGAACTAAGTACTACTGCAACTATAATTTTAGAGGAGATTAAGACTCAAGCAGCAAAGTATAATGGGGCAGGAAAGTACCAAGTTGCAAGCACATGGCAGGATCAGTATGTGGTGAACCTAAATGAAAGAAGTTGCACTTGGTTCTGGGAGATTACAGGTTTTCCATGTAGACATGCTGTTTCTGCTATATGGAACAAAATTGAAAATGGAGAAGATGCCCCTAATGTTGAGGATTGGGTCCATCCTTGCTATAAGTTATCAACATGGAGAGCCATGTATCTGAACAAAATTGATCCAATAAATGGTCGTTCAATGTGGCCAAAAAGTGATTGTCCATTCACTTTAACTCCACCAAAACATCACACACAGGTTGTTATGTCAACTAGGCTAGATATGTACTTTTAATGCCAGCATGTATGTTAATGTTTTAAATATAATAAATGCATATGTGTAGGTTGGGAGGCCAAAAAAGAAGAGAAGGAGAGGTGTTGATGAGCCCAACAGCCAAACCACTAAATTGAGCAGGAAATTTATTGCAGTCACTTGTTCAAAGTGTCATAACAAGGGGCACAATTCAAGAACATGTAAAGGGCAGGGAGGCATTAGTGAAGTTGGATCAAAGGGGAAGACACAGGGAAAAGGGAAGACACAGGCAAAGGGTAAGACACAAGGAAAGGGAAAGGGTAATTTAGGAAATATGTTAAGTAGTTAGTTGGATGTTTGGGTAGTTAGGTCTTTTGAAACATAAATTATGGTTTGGTTGTTTAAATTATGGTAATTAGGTCTTTTGTAATGTTTGTATGGGTTAAGACATTCCATCAGTAAGTATGTTGAAAGTAAGTCTCATGTTTGTATGGGTTAAACACAGACTTGTAATGATTTTATCAACATTTTGTAATGATTTTATCAACATTTTGCTTATGAATTACCCTCTCCAAACCTTTCTCAAGAAGATGCATGTATAACAATGTAGATTTGAAATACCATTCCTAACCATTTGCAAGATGCAGTTATAACAATGCATCATACGAAAATGAACATCAAAACCACAGATTTATAACAAAATACATAATCATCATTTCCGTTAACTTAATGTGTTACACTTCATACAACAAAATGAAACCAAAAATACCCATTCCATCAATATCCAAAACCCCCTGAACTAGTTAGATGCGTACAAAGAAACCAAAAACCCCCATCCTATTACCATCCAAATCCTTACTAGTTAAAATAAAACCAAAAAAAAATCATCCATGAACAGAACAACATAAGCCGGTAGTTCCACAGTTCTGCACTTGCAATTGCAACCCTCTCTTCCAATCGATTCATTGATCTTATTAAACCTGGAATCACCACCAATGCCCTTGCACACATCGGAGGGTCAACCCACCTTACGAACCCACATCTTGAACAATTCAAAAATTGCCTTCCTGGGTTACGATCCGTCCATGAGGTCAACTTCGTTGTTTCCATTCCACATCTGCAAATCGCCATCTTCGACACTCGCAGAAATCGTTTTGGAATTCGATGCACAGTAGAGTGAGAGTAGAAGACGGTGGGTGCGAGAAGGGTTAGACCAATATAGACATGCATTTGGTTATAAAGAAGAGGGCACAGGTGAAAAGACCGATTTACCCTTATATTATTTTAATGAAATAAGGGTTAACGGTGGGATTCTAACGGTGTGAGGGATAAGGACCACCTGTTAAAAGTTTTGAAAGCATAGGGACCAACTATGAGATTTTTAAACTACGGGGACTAAACTTCAGAATCTGGGAAAACACAGGGACCATTTATGATGTTTTTTCAAATTTAATCAAGAGATATAAAAATTGACATGTACTATTCCAAACATAATATTAAAAAAAGTATTCTTAATATCCGATTGTTCTTCTGTATCTTTCTTTTATTTTAGGAAAATAACTTGTGAGAGTAATTATCTTTTCGTTTTGTTCACGTTTAGTGTTTTTTTTTTTTTTTTTTTTTTTTTTTTTTTTTTTTTGTATACATTTCACATTTAACTTGTTAAGTCTGTTCATATATTCCAATTGTCACCTGCTATAGCAGATGACAATGATAATATGTAAACAAATTTAACAAGTTAAATTGTCAAATGTATACGAATAAATAAATAAATAAATTTATCTAAATGTGAACATTTTTTTTCTTTTTTTTTACAAATTTCTTAAATTTTTTTTATAATTTCTTACATCATTTTTATGATATTTTTTCCTACAAGCTTTTCTAATACAATGTTTTAAATCTTTGTTTATAATTTTTTTTAAAACTTTTTTTTATTATTTCATATAATTTTAATACAAGTGCTTTTAAACAAAATATTTTATAAATGTTTTAAAATTTTCTTACAAGTACTTGACAACTTTTTTTTTAATTTACATTTTCATATAATATTTTTATAACTTTCATACATTTATTTCTAAACTTTCTTTTACAACATTTTTAAAGTGTTTCACGGATTTTATATGATAGTTAGATATTTTTTTATAACATTTGAAAATACTTTCGTTAAATACTAGTTTAAAACATTGTATTAAAAAAATAAAAGTTTATAAACTTCTAATTAAAAAGTATTAAAAAGTTGGAATTTTTTAAAACATTTACATTATATAGATTTTGTTTTTGTTTTTTTATTTGCTAAGTAATATTTTCTTTTTATCTTTTTAAAAGACCCTCCATATTTACTTTAAAAATATTATATATGCTTAAAAACAAAAGAAAAAAAATATTATAAGATGCTATATAAAATATTTCACAAAACAAAAACATATTTATTAATTAAAAAGTAAAGTTTGAAATTGATCGATATTCAACTAATATTTAGAAAATTATATACATTTTAAAAATAACATTTGAAAAAAATAATACAAACAAATATGAAAAATAAAATCGCTATTAAAAATGGGGAGAATGACTTATCAAAGTAATTAATTTTTCGTTTTGTTCATATTTAAGCAACGTTCTTTTTTTGTAGTCATTTTAACTATTTAACTTGTTAATTTGTTCACATATTACCACTGTTACCTACTATAGGTGATGACAATGACAATATGCGAATACATATAACAAGTTAAATGGTTAAATGTGTACAAAAATAAAGAATTTACCTAAATATGATCAAAACGATAAAGATAATTACTCTAGTAAATCGTTTTCCCTTTATTTTATAGGTAGGGAGACATAACAAATGTATTTTTGTTAACACATATGTCAAGTCAAATTAATTTAATACAACTATATAATAGTTATATGCATAATATCATCCTCAAATCCTCACTTCTAACCCTCTACTTATCAATAATTCAATTCTTAATTAAACCATCAATCTTCTTCACTTTTACTTAACTCCATAACTCCATTTTGAACTGGTGCCTAACTCCATAGCAAAGAAGTTGCATGAAAACCAAAACAATTCAAATCAACAAATCTCTAAAGTTAAAAGTTAAAACTCTAGTTAATTCATTATTTAGGGATATAAGTGAATTCCCACAACAACAATGTCACCCTTGTTGATACAAGTGAAGGCCCACCTCAAGTTCACCAAATTAATGGATTCTTTTATATGCCTAATTTAACGCTACCATGAATGAACAATATAGCACCCAATTGAAGCAACAATGGCTTCAATTTACATCCCCACAATAGTAAATAAATACTACATTGCAAAGTGGTCCAATTTTTAATGCTAACTTATTCCCATGTTGTTATCGAGCATGTCCTTGGTTGAGGGAAATCATGACAGATGTTCATTGGTTTCATTTAATATGTATTTTGACATTTTTGACTAACAGTAACAAGGAAACATTGATAATTAAATGTTACAAAATTTTCACTTGTAGGTAAAAACCAAGGGGAATTATATATGTATCATAGCATGTGAAATTTCATAGAAATAGGCAAAAGGACTCCATACGTATTACCTTTGCAGAAAATATGTTGTCTATGTTGATATGATACAAGGGTGCACAGCAGCTAGTCGCATTTATAACATCTGCAGCAAAAAAAGTTTTGTAGTTAAAAAAATAAGTTTTGTACATGATTGATTATTATCTACTCATTGTAAGCCAAACACAAACACAAACACAATACATCATGTATAGTTTAAGGATGAATGGATTTATTGATCGAATGAAGACTATTTGTCTATTTGCATTGCAAAATTAGTGAATAATACTGCCCTGTTATGCAATGGAAGGAACTAATCAGGGTCATTACTAGCAATAACCTCTTGGACATGATCAAATTATCACAAAATCCAATTTACAACAAACCCTATTTCGTTCATAAAACTTCTAGGGTATGAAATTACCTCAATTGGTTTAATTACAAAACATGGGATCATTTGAATTTGTCCATTGGTTTAATTACAAAACATGGGATCATTTGAATTTGTCCATCATAGGTTACTGCCACAGTGGTCAACTCTGGCGTAGTCCAGGCGTTGGATGCCGCCTTCGGCCACCACTGGCGGTCGTCGCTGCTGCAGCTCCCCTTCATCTTGATTGCAGCATCGTTGCTTCCATTTTCCTCAGGATCTCTCGTCCTCTTGTTTTGTTTTTTTTTTTTTTTTTAAATCGAACTAGAACACACATATACACAATAAGCTTTGTTTCTTCTCTTTGAATCTCGATGTTTTTCTCCCTTTCTCTGATTTTCGATCGAACACACACAAGGGTGTGTTTCCCCTTCCCCGATCGATCGGCGATCGTTTTCCTTGTACAAGGTTAAAACTTTTTTTTTTTTAAATATTAATTAACATTATAATTAAATATTTCTCTCCTTTCATTTACCTTTTAAAATAAAGTGGTGGGATATATTTATAAAGTATGCAAGATGGTAGTTAAGTTCGTTAATTGTCGTTTTGTTAGTTAGACATTTTGTTAGTTGTCATGTGTAGGTTACCTTGTGTATATATAAAGTATGCAAGATGGTAATGGTGTTTGATGGTCATTGTATGAAAACTTACGAACGTCGAAAATAATTTTAAGAAGTAAATGTTGAATCCATGCAAATAAAAATTTAGATCATTATTTACTACCAAGTTGACAATTTAAGTTCAGAAAATAAATTAGTCATTAGCGGTCAGATCTGATTATAAAAAAAATTAAAAGACTGAAAAATAAATAATAAAACCAACCTACTTTCTGTCTCTTGTTTTATCATGAAAAAGTCTGTCTGGTGATATGCATAATTAAGAGTCGAGAAATTAATAGATTATCAACGTTGATGCTCGTGAGAAATTAGTGCAACTATATAATAATTATATGCATAATACCATCCTCAAATATCCATTTTCTAAACCTCTAATTATCAATAAATTAAACTCTTAATTAAGCTTCTTCTAAATTAACCCACTATCTTCTTCTTCTTCTTCTATCCACTACTATCTTCCATTATATACAATCCAATCCTTTCCTTGCTACCATCTTCTTCACAACAACTCCATTTTCAACTGCTGCGTATGCAAAGAAGCTACATAACACAACACCAAAACGCCACAATTCAAATCAACAACTCTTTAAACTCGTAAAAATTAATTAATTATAAATTCAATTTTTTTTTTACCTGAATTCCCAGATGAGTCATAACTTAAAAGCGAGTCATCTGGTGTCAAGAAATTAGGGTGCAGGTGGAGGTCTTCCCCACCCCACAGTCCCTGGGGTGGCATCCCATCAGGCTGCTGCCATAACTGCTGCTGCTGGTGGTGGTGGTGGTGGTGGTGTTGGTGTTGGCTGTTTCCATTCATTTGTCCATCTAGTGAAACCATGCCAGCAAAACTACAGTCCATAAGTGACCCACTCTGCAAAATGGTCAAACAAAATTATTAGGGACAAGAATGTCATTATGTCAATCTTGTCCATACAAGTGAAGGGCCACATTAATTGCTTCTTTTATATGTCTAATAATATATGCTACCATGAATGAACCACATAGTACCCAATTGGAACAACAATGCCTTTCAACGTTCAATGTTCAATGTGCAGAGAGATATTAAATAAATACTACATTGCAAAGCTTAGCAAAGTGGTCCAATTTTCTATGACACCTTATTCCCATAACAGATGTTCATTTATTATGTATTTTGACTCACTGTAACAACAACGCATTAAAGGTTTTGGTATCATTATTTACCACTAGGTAAAAAGTAAAATAATAATAATAATAATAATAATAATTACCTCTGCAGAGAAGATGTTGTCTAAGTTGATATCGATACAAGGGTGCACTGCAGCCAGTCTCATTGATAAGAACTGCACCAAAAGCAAGTTTTCGAGTTATAATAAAAAAAAAAAAAGTTTTGTAGTTAAAAATTATATAAAAATAAAAAAGATTATACAAAAACCAACCTCCACTTGGCGTTGCAGGGTTTGCACGTGATTGATGATCTCGTCAAGCACCATCGCCGTACCTGAAATCTGCAAGACAATAAGATAGTTTTGTCCTGCTGACATCAGTCTCAACACAGTATAATCTGTTCTGTCTTGTCATGTGTCAATTTGAAATGAAATTTTCTTAAAAGAATGA